ACATCTTTGCTTCACATGCAACCAAGTCATGACTGGCTCCTGCCCACAGGCCAAAACCAAGGAGGGAGAGGGATTATGGACTGGACCTCTAAAACTGTGAGCCAGAACCACAGCTTTCTCTTTGTAAAGCTGATCAACACAGCTTTATTTAGGTATTAGAAAGCTCACATAATGGAAAAATACTCAGAGGGCCTTTTAAACTTATATTTTAAATTATGTGCCTCCGTGGGTGTGTGCATGTGAATGCACAGTCTGAGGACGTCACACGTGTCAGATTCCCCTGGAGCTGTAGATGTGGGTAGTAAGCTTCCTGACATAGGTGTGGGAACAGAACTTGGTACCTCTACATTAACTGCTGACTAATCTCTCTTGCCCCTGAAAGGCACTATTTAAAACCATGTTTCTATTCATAACACATGCTACCAACATTAAGAAAATGCTTGACAAAGTTTTAGAGATACAAAAATTTTAACAGTATGAGAAATCTGTTTTGAATTGATACTATGGGTGTAAACAATAAACACACCCTAAGCGCATTGAAGGTGGCATTAAGAAGGAGTGTGTTTAAGGGAAATTCTCTATTACAACAACGTGCGGGTTTGAATACAGGCACCGCAAACAGGAAATGACACTGTTTTACTGTGTTAAAACTCTGTCACTGGATACGGTGGCTGTACTATGCTCATCAATCCACAATGAGCAAGTCCTACCTGCTTTCGATGGGTTCACCTCCTCTGAACTTAAATATTTCATTTTGCATCTATAAGCCCCAAATCACATTTAGAAAAAAATGAAAGGTTTTATGTTCTACATCTTAAAAATGTCAAAAATTTTGCACATTTATTTATCTTATGCCAAGAATTCCATAGAGCTATTTTTAAAGTGAAGAATTTAAACTAATATTATCCAGTTTGCTGTATGAGAACAGTTGAGGTATTTATACTTTGATACCTGCAAAGGGAAATTAGGTACTAAAAATAAAAACCATACTTTGATATTCTGCTGTAAAATACTCTATGTGAAAAAGAGGTTCCCTGCTCATCCTTTATAAAGGCCATAGATACTAGGTTTGAATTATATTATATTTGGATACAATTAGGATGATCATTCTTAGCTAACAAGACTATGTTTTAAGAGAAAAGGAATTAACAATATTTCAAATAAAGAGATTTGTATGTCCTTTATACAAAACTAATTGAGATATGGGGATATAGCTCAGTGGCAGAGCATTTGCTCAGAAACACAAGGTCCTGGGTTCCATCCACGGCATGGGCCTGCATGTGAGTAAAGGGAGTTGATATATTATACTTATACATGCAAATGAAGCAAACACAAAACAAATCATGCCAATAGAAGAATTGCAGGCTTCCAGGACTGCCATCAACCACTCCCACATGCTACTAGAGACACCCAGCTCTAGGACTTAAGCTGCTGCCACTTGGATGCAATAACCCAAAGCAGGATGTATCAGAGCAAGCCCACTGGACATCTAGCTCTGTCCTTCTATGTTACCAGTACAGAGCTATTATAAAAAAACAGTGGGAAGTTTTTCTATATAGTTTTTTATTGTATGAACAATTTTTCAAAAGGGGATAGGAGGCAGAGAGAGGATGGATCCTTGTATCACGCTCCCAGTACTTTCATTGTAAGAGTTAGTGGGTTTCAGGAATGGTTAAGAAGCAAACACTCGTGTTTATGAAGCCGGCTTTCTGGATACTATTGATATCTCTTGGTTGTTAGGCCAAGGATCCACCATCAAAGATAAATGTCACTCACACAACATTCAGGGCCTTTTACAGAAATGCTGCTTTCCAAACCTGGAGAGCTCATGACTATCAATATGTATTTCTCAGAAAGTCACATTTTCTTATTACTGGCACTCAGAACAGGACACAGAGACAACCACAAAGATAACATGACTAGAATTTGCCTTCTTTTGCATTTCATGTTGATACTAACCAAGTCACCGAACAGTTCTAGAATTATCTTCCATGAATTTTTCCAGTGATTATGATATACTTAGGAATCAAACAGGGAGTAAAATTACAGTGCCATAAGCAATCATACAGTGATAAGAGGTAACAAAGTGATTTAATGTGTCATTACACAGGGACATTCAGTACGTCAATGTATGGTGGACTTCCCTGGGTCTCATGTACACTTAAAATTTTAGGTAAAAAACAAATATATATATATATATATATATATATATATATATATATATATAT